TGGGAGACGCCTCCTCATCCCCAGATAGCAAACCTAGAGATGCCAGATGACTCTACAGAGGTTCAAGACTTGATGTGCTCCTGGGGACAGTCCAGTGAAGACATGCACAAGAAGGTAGGCAGCCCCAGGCATGCCCTGGCCGAGGAGCAGAGAACAAGCATCCTGCAGCAAAGACCCAACACTCCTGACATTCCTGCTGCTCCTCACCAGCTGCCACTGACACACCATGTACTGCATGAGGAACACAGCTGAGGGCTGGACATGCACCAGACCAGGGCATGACCCAGGGACTGCTGCCAGCTGGTGGAAAGGAGAAGCTAGGTGTCATCTCCAGGAGTCCATGGCAGTGTCCCTGCTCCCAGCCAGCAGCCAGCACAAGACATCCAAAAGGACGATGGTCAGTTTTAGGGATCCAAGTGCGGAGCCCTAGGATCCCTTCACTGGCTCAGCAAGGCTCAGGAGAAAGCAAATTAATCTCTCATGCTCCCTTTCCTCTCCTCTGCAAACTGGTGCTGGTGTGAAGGGGGTGGTACCAACGGCCACCCTCCTGTCATCCAAGAAAAGGTACTACCACCACAGTGGGCTGTCCTGCCTGTGTCCTGCAATGGTGACACTGCCCCGATTTCTCTCTGCCAGCCCGACGCCCCATCCCACAGCACTTACTGGCAAAGCCAGTTCCACGGAAGCAGTGGGATTAACCGGTTTTCGCAGTCCATTGCAGACTGTAGTCACCAGGAAGGTTCGAGTCCACCCAGAGAGCAGGAGGCGATGCACTTCCAGGGACAACTTGCTGGCATTGCCAAATGGCTGCCAGTTTTGGACCCAGACTGGTACAAAACTGAGGAACAAAACTCCTTGGTGCAAACCTCCCTGGGTGCAAAACTTCCTCAAACTGGGGAGCTCTGCGGGGCTCACCTGCCTGCCTTAGCCATCACAAGCTTTCCCTGGTTGCCACAGAGGCAGCCAGCTCCCCTCTGCAGGCAGCTGCAGCACAGGGATGTCCCTCGGTGCGGAAGCTGGCAGGGGTTATGCTGGCCAAAGCCATCACACGTGCTTAGCTCTAGAAAGCCATGGGGCAAACGCAGCTCATGCTTCAACCAGAGCGTAAGCGAAAGCACTCTGTCTGGCATAAGCTGTATTTTCCATACAGGAAGGGGATGGTGGAACTCGCTTGCACAAAGTCTGTAAGGAAAACTTTCCAGGACAGACAAACCAGAAAGCAAGAAAGGAGGAGGAGGGAGCTTACGTAGGCTTCCTTGGGTTAGATGAAGGGTTGGGGCCAGGCCCGTGTGACTCACCACACTGCGTGTGCTGCTGGCTTGATGCAACCCCTGCTCCAGCAGAAGCAACGCGTGATGGGCCATCGCTGGTACTGGGGTGAAACGTGGGAGTTGCAAGAGCTGCTATAAAAAAATATCCCTTTGCAACGTGCCAACGCTACCCATGAGCTGCCGGTGAAGGAGAATCCCCTTCCACCCACCACTTCGGGTGCTTTGTGTGTAGCAGAAAATATCCGCTGGCAGCACCAGATGGACAGGATACCCAGGCTGCTGCTTTCAGACACCGTTCAGTGAACAGGCTTCAAGGGCAAAATTACCAAGAAAGAAAACAGCTGCGAAAAGCAGCCTCAACTTTTTCCAGCCCTGCGCTTGCAGCGCATTCGCTGCTTACTCACTTCTGGCTAAGCCTAGATCTGCCGGGCCAGGTCCCCACCCTCTCCTCCAGCACAACTGCTCCTTACAGCCTGGAAGCTATTTTTTCCCACCCTGCTATCTAAAAAAAAAAAAAAAAAATTGGCAGGAAAGCTTTTACCATGCCGACTCGAGTCAAATATAAGGGCTCCCCTCTGTGGATTTACTGGCATCAAGGGATGGGTTGGAAGGCAACCTTTCTGTGAGGAGGATCTTCTACAGAAGCACCTGTTTTCATAAAGCACATTGGAATTTCATATCTACCCACAGCACGCGCACCCTTCCGCCCGGAAGATATTTTTTTCCCCCCCGTTATCTAAAAAAAAAAAAAAAAAAAAAAAATTGGCGTGAAAGCTTTTATCATCCTGAAAACATGCCAACTGTGAAGGCAATTCTGTGTCTCAGACGCCTGTTTCCTGGCAGATTTTAAGTCCTTTGCTGAACCACTAGGCCTGCAACAGCAGGCTGTGAACTGTAGTTTCAAACAGTCACATGTTTAACTGCTGCTAAATACCCAGGAGACCAACATTTTCAAACAGCAGGCTAAAAGCTCGAGAGAGAGCCAAGTGACGGTGTCAGCGCATCCGAGGTAAAGAAAAGGGGTGAATGTGCCACAGGGTGATGCTGCGCAGCGAGATGGAGGGCCACCTGCATGGCCCCAGCCACCAGGCAGTACTGAGTGGGGTCACCTGGCCCAACACCTCCACCTGGTCAGTCGCCCCTTTGCCTCATGCGTAATGAAGCTTCAGCTCTGTTGGCTCCCAGAGGTTTGAAGGCAAAGGATGGGACCCAGCAACCAGGCAGAGCATGGGAGAAGTGCTGAATGACTGCACCCCTGGTGTCCAAATTTCCAACTCCGGCCATAACCACCACAGCCGGCAACCTAAAGGTGCTGGGAAGTCCACGTGCAGGCTGAGACCTGGGGACAGCCCCTGCCTTGATGCCACCTTGGAAGAGCTACACAAATAACAGAGACCTTCACCTCAGTGATGCTTTTTGGGGCTCCAAAGTGCTCAGAGCTGGTTTTGCACGCAGAAATCCCTTTTCCACTCCAGGCCCAAACTGTGGGATCTCTCCCCAAAAAATTGCATAGGATAGGAAAAGGATACAGTCCTGTCAGGCTTTACTCTTTTAGATATAGAAGGGGGCTATGTCTTGGCACATGACCCACCGCAACATCTACCCTAGTACCTACTATAACTAGCCCTTCTGCCAGCTGAGGATTTTCCCTAACATTGCAATTCAAGTCACCCAAGCATTGCTTCAACTCTAAGTTACTTGGAACTGCCTGTGAAAAGAAAGCTGAGTGGTCTGGGAAGGCAGGAATTGATAGCCTTTCGGGTTTGGTTGTTTTTTTTACCCTAGGGAGAAGTTACTAAGAAGAAACTGGCCTGGAACAGAGGTGCATGGGACAATCCAACTAACTCTCCAGAGGCTATAAACAATCATCTCACTTAATGCAAAATAGATGGTGCCCAGGAAAATCGTTCGTGTCAGATGAAATCACCGCTAGATCTCTGAAAGCAGAGTCGTGATGCACTCCCTGCATCACCAAAGGGAGGGATGTGATCCCACCTGTAGCACACAACCCAAGCTGGCATTTTATAAACTTGGCTGTGGTGTCTCTCTCACTATCACACCTATTTGTGACGGTGCAGAGCACCGGCATCAGCTCTGCTGGAAGGGAAGCAGAGCACAGCGTGGCTACTGCATGATCCAGCCATACAAGAAGGTCAGGGCTCTCCTGGTGTGTCATCTAAAAACCACAAGACAAAGAAAGCTGCAAAGCTCCCACAAAGTACAGAAGACTAGCAATGGAAGTCCTCCAACATACCATGCAAGCTGCCTTCTGCCCCTTCTGCCCTCCAGATGCACTTCTCCATCCCCGAGTGCCCTGTTCACTAGCAAGAGGAGTAACCTTCATCCTCCTTTGTACTTGGGTGTCTTCACCTTCTTCCTCTCTTGCCTTCCCTCCATTTAAGGACGGCACCTTTCTCGGGAGGCAGCTAGCTACAAGACAGAGTAAAGGGGTAAACAGTAGGCTTAGGGAGAAAACCACCCTAAAAACCTTAGCCTGGTCCAAGTCTTAGTGACATCTTGGGCTGTTGGGAGCCGTAAGCAGCAAGAGCAGCTGCAGGCCGTGGGCAGGAGGTGCTGTTAGTGCACAGCCCCATCCCAGGCCCAGCTCTCCAAGTAACAGTGTAAGCTACGGGTAAGAGAGCAAGCAGGAACCAACCAGGAGGTGGGGAGATATTTGGAGTTGTTTAACCCCACCGCAGCGCTCTGCTTTCCAGAGCCTGGGTCCTGCAGGGCACAGCGATGAAGAGTCCAGCAGTGCTCCCCTGCCAGCACTGACACAGGAGCTGTCAGGGCAGAGGAGAGCCCTGCCAGCCCTCTGCCAGCCAGAGAGCAACAGGGTGAAGGATGGACTTAGCCAGCATCTCTCTGCAGCCTCTGCCAGCAGGACGCTCCTGCCAGGCCTTGGGGGAGGAGAAGAGGCATGGTAACGTTCCTCCAAGAACAAGCAGCACCAGCGGCAGCATCCGCACCGCCAGGGCTAAGAGGCCTCAGAAAATCTGCTTTTGTGCAACAGTGCCAGCCTAGAGGGAGAAAAAGAAGCAGCATTAGTAGCGACAGGTACGCTCAGGGTGCCTGCCACTCCCACGGCAGCTGCTTTTAGGCACTAACTCAGTCAGCTGCAGCTTCCCTGTTCTGTCTGGGCACGAGAATGAATTTCTTTCTGAAAGGTTTCAGGTGCTCCTCAGAGTTGACCTGACAGAGGCAGGCTGCTTTTCCAAGGTTAAGACGCATCAGAAAACTTTTTGTAAGGTTCAAAACACAGCACTGACATTTTGGGGGTGTCAAATCAGGATAATCTCAAATAGGGAACGGCCCCGCCTTCAACTGTCCCCACAAAAATTCAGTGGACTTTGGTGAAAATTAGTGTTTGGTAGAAGGAAAGGCCTCCCCCTGCTGCAGCCGTTCCCAAACCCAAACACGTAAATGACCAACCGAAATTCACAGCCTGCAGCCAGGACATGTTTTGGGATCCTTCCTATAGGGCAGGCCAAGCAGGGGACACAACACAGGCCAAAAGGTATGAGCGTCACCACAGAAAGCACCCAGTTCCAGGGTAGGAGGAAGGCAAGTCGATGAGTTAGATGTGATCTGCAATGATTTCACATGGCTTCTACTGCATGCTGCATCAGCAGTCTAGTGGTTCACGTGGAAAAAAAAACATTCTTTTGAGTCATTTTTCCAGTGATGGGAATAAGCTCATACTTCAATTAGTATTTACCAAAAACTCAGTACTGTGTGAAAATGTGTTTATTCCAAAGCTAAATTTCTCACATAAAACAGTGAACAGCAGCATCAGTCCTTACACACAGCCTTCTGGGTTCCTGGTCTTGGGGCCTTGAACCATCTCAACAGAGCCATAGGGAATATCTTTTCAGAGTTGACAGAAAGGGGAGGGAAACAAGACAAAACAGATACGTTGCCACTGGCACAATTTATGAAATTGTGCCTTCTCTCAAGAAGAGAAAAGGTGTCCGGACACTTCACAGGAAGCTTAATGTCTGCACAAAGATCTCACAGAACACCCTGCTCTGCAGCTTGCTTGCCAAGGAGCAGCTGCCACTGTCAGGAGAGAACTGCATTATTTCTGCAGACAAAAAACAGGACTGTTGGATTTAATAATCTGCTGAACTGCTTCCAAGGACTGAAGCGGCTGAGAGGTCACGTTGGGGATGTGCTCCTTTGCAGCTCCAGTGTGCAGGTCTGGCCCCATCTGACACCCTAGAGGGGTTTACCTTCTTCCTCCTGCCTCAGCCTCTTGGAGAGGTGCTCGCTGATGGTCATGAGGGGGTTGGCTCTGTAACTGGGATTGGTGATGACCTCATGAAACCGAGCCACTTCCTCCTCTCTGAGGAAAGAAAAATAACACACAAATGCTAAGTGCCTCATGCAAAATGAACTGAGCAGATAAGAACAGAACTCATAAAGCAGTAGGTCTCTGTACAGACAGAATTATCCTGAGTGTAAAGCTCAGAAAGAAACAGTGCAAGAAATAAACCTGATTTACCAAAGGGCAGAGCTCAAATTGCTGCAAGCTTCATGGGAGCCAGAGAATTGATCTTATGCTACGCAGATAGAAACAATCACACCAGTGTTCAGCATCGCTTGGAAATGTTTTTTTTGGAGCTTTTTCCTAGTAATCAGGAACAAGAGACTGTGGGTATCTGTTAAATCACTAAGAATGAAAACTACTTCAGAGTGCACTAGGACAAAAGCAGATTCTGCTTTTGAGAGCTCATCTACTGATCCTCTTTATTGCTCAATGTAGAGGGTTGGTAATCCTATGTACAGTAGTTAAACACCATGGGAAGAGCATGACAACTGCCTTTGCATGCTTGGTTGCAGCTGGTTGCTGTGGAAATAGTCTTGTCTTAAAAAGCACACAAGCAGGGAAGAACAGAGCAGGAGAAGTGTAAAAAACAAGTGAGTTTTCACGTCAGTCACATCCATTGCGACCTCCCCATCTCACTCAGACAAACTGCCAGGCTCTCTACAGCCCAACCAGACACACATCCCCACGTTCTCAGTAGTTGCTGTGGATCAGCAGAGTGCTCTTCGGACTGCAGCTAGTTCCCTCCCTAGCAAGGCCCTTCTGTGAGGAACAGAGGGAGAAGCCAAACCTGAAGCTTGGCTTGTGGCAGTTGGGACAATGGGGCGAGGCTTAAGGAAGCTCCAGTACTAACAAACGTCCTGGAAAATAAATCTCAAAGACCTTCCTCCAAAGCTTTTCTCTCCCAAGAAGCACGGACTTCCCAGACCACTCTGGTAGGATACATACCACCACTTAGTGCATCTGTCCAAGGATATTCAAAAGCCACGTGGATGGACATGGTCCAACCAGCTCTAGGTGGCCCTGCCTGGGTAGGGAGGTTGGACCAGCTGACCTCTGGAGGTCCCTTCCAGTATCAACCATTCTGTAACGCTCAGCAGGGACTGGGCACTCTGATAACTGGGTACTTACAAGAGCCGGCATTTCTGAGCTTGTTTCATCAGACAGAAGTCTGCTGGTTCTGCCTTTGCTTCCACATGGCTGTGAAGAGAAGAAACAAAAGAAGAGAGTGAGTGTTATAGAGGAGCAGTAATTTAGCAATTGCTGTATAGATGGAAAGAGTCCAGGGATTCTGCATCTGCTTTCCCAGAAAGTATAGGTAATTGTCCTGTATGGAAATTGTCCTGAAAGGCAATTATTCCCACAGCCAGTCACTAATGGAGATGCAAACTCCTTCCACCACACTCTGACAACAGTTCAGGAGTCAGGACTGAGTGGGCAGGAGGTAAATGCACTAAAGAAAAATTGGATCACTTAATTCTAGAACTGGTCACGAGGTGTCCATGGCCAGATCCCTTTCTGCTTATCACTGACCTCCAGGTCAAATTGATACTGTTGCTTAGAGAAAATATCCCATTGAACTTCCCCTCACCGCCAGGCACACATCACCTCTGCACAGCTCATGTCCGTTGCTAACGCTGGCGAGCTCCAGCATTGGCAGACATCAGCTATAGACAGTGCCAGGCCTCAGCAAGAAGAGGGAACTGCCAGCCCTACTCTGAGTCCTGTGCCGGGACCACTGGGGTATAAGGTGTCATTATAAGAAGTTCTACCTAAACATGAGGAGGAACTTCTTTCCTGTGAGAGTGGTAGAGCACTGGAACAAGCTGCCCAGGGAGGTGGTGGAGTCTCCTTCTCTGGAGACATTCAAACCCCACCTGGACAAGTTCCTGTGCAACCTGCTCTGGGTGGACCTGCTTTGGCAGGGGGTTGGACTGGATGATCTCCAGAGGTTCCCTCCAACCCCATATGATTCTATGATTTCTATTTTAAGATAAAGAATCACAGAATCATAGAATTGTCTAGGTTGGAAGGGACCTTTAAGACCATCTAGTCCAACCATCAACCTAACTCTGATAAAAACCATCGCTAAACCAATGGCAATATTCCTATCTCCTGTGAACACATATCCTCACCAAAGGCAGGTTTTGCAGCTGCAGTTTAAGTCAGCTCCAAACAGGTTAGCTGAAGAGAAAGCACAAGAACAGAGCTTCACCTTTTGCCATCAAACACAGGTTTTGAGAAGTTACAAGAAGGTGGACTCATGGAAACGCAGGATGGTGCACTATGCACAGCCGAGGCACAGCATAGATCTGCACCCATTTCTTATTCCTGGGCAAAATCGAAGGAGATCAGAGGTGTAATTCCATCCTGCACACGATGCTGGAAGCACGTGATGCCCAATTCTAAGCAGCAGCAGAGATTTACCAAAAATCCAAGCACTAAGCCCATGTAGACACACAGGAAGGGCAGTGACTGCTTTTGGGATCTGAAGTGCACAAAGGGAGTTGCCGGTAGAACTGGACATTACGGAAATGAAAAGAAACTTCCATTCTTCAGGATTGCACAGATACAGGGGTAAACAGGAGAAGCATCTGTAGAAGAGGGTTTGCCTCTGCAGAGCAGCTCCCCTCCGATTCACCCTGGGGCTTAGCCACAGTCCACAGCCCAAGTTGGGGAAGAGGGTCTGCCTCCCACCCTCTGCTGGAGGAGGGCTGGAGGAGGAATCTTCCCTTACTGGTGGGTGCTGGGGGCCAAGGCCTCCCCGACCTGATCTGCCACAGAGCCCTTCAGCTTTCTCAAGGTTAGGAAACATGACAGTCTCTCACCTTCTCTTTGAGACAGCAGGATCTGGTCTCTTGTTGGCAGTGTTACAGTGACCTCCTCTTCCTATTTCCTTCTCTGATCTGCTGTCCTCCATCCTTTTATTCTCCATTTTTTCCCCATTCTTCCTTTCCTCCTCCTCTCTTCCCCCATGTTCTTTCACCCCACTCACTTTCATCACCCTCACCACACGACCAGCTCCTGCTCCTTTTCCTCATCTCTCCCTCTCCCCATTCTGGCCCTTTGTATTTTTCCTGAAGGGGGATCCTGGAGGAACCCAAGCTGCCGAGGGCTGCTCTCACCACTGCCCTGATCACACCTGATTTACCCTCAGCCCAGCACAGTGTGCCCCAGCGTCAAAGCTTCCTGCCAACCCAGACAAACCCAAACAGAGTGGATGGATGTCAGCCAGCCTCTACAGCACAGAGACCGTGCAGGACACAGCGGCCAGGCAGATCAATGACTGTGTGCTGCTGTTGCTCCTGTGCCCTTCAGTCCCTCTCAAGGTCACCCCACCACCGCCGGCATTACACAACAGGCCTGAGAGCTCACAAGGAACAGCAATCAGCAAGAGCAGACAAACAGCTACAGGAGTTTGAGCAGATCCCATCACACTGCTGTGTCCACTGGTACCGCAAGGAGGAAGCATCTCTGCCCTCCTCATGTTCATTAACTGCTGGGCACGGGAACAATTTCTTGTCCCAGTTTGCCTGGATCGCTCACACAAGCACAGAGAGGTGCTCAGGTTGGTTGGCAACCCACGGTCACCAGAGCAGAGGCTTGCCAAGTGTGTCACCAAGTCACCATGGCACTTCAAAGACAAGTAGCTCTGCAGAGGGTGAGGACATACATCCTGGGCCATACCAGACCTCGGGACAGCTTCCCCTGCAGCACACCATGAGGGCACGGGGCTGCTTCAGGCTGTGCAAGCCCACTTCTGCTTTCTGCCACCTCACTAATTTAGAGGGCTTGGTGTTTCTGAAGGCTTTTCAGTTCCACTCAACAGCTCTGCCCCACTGGTCTGGCAGGTCTGAAAGGCTGCTGCCTGCTCACTTGGACCATGTTAGCAGCCCCTGTTTCATTACACTTCGTTGTCTTCATTCATTATAAAACGGAATAAAACCCTCACTCTAATGCTCTCTTACCCAGCAGGAGATCAAATTCCTGGAGAATCTAATCTTTTATTAATAATGCTGACAAATCACCAGAGTATTACCCTTCATTTATGTAATGATTCAAATCCTATAAAAGCCTCCTCTGACTATTTCAAACACATATGCACACACATCCTCATGCAATACAGCACGCTACGAGTCAACAAGGGGAAGGAGAGCACTGTAGCTCCTCCATGCCAGTACCAAGGGGGACTGCTTTTTGGTTGGTATGTCCCAGGCAATCTGGGTGACATCAGTCAACGCCAAGTTCCCACCTCTCTTGTACTGACAGCAGATGGTGCTGGCCAATCCCAAAATTCTCAGCAAAGGATGGGCTGCTGTGCTACTGGGCTTTCTAGACACCACAGCCTTGCAGCCAAAGTGAAGACAAAGCCCCAGTATGAGCTCAGGCTTTCAGAAGGAGAGAAGGGTTCCCACTCTCCCACAGGAGGTCTGGGTTTGGAGAGAGGGAGCTGACAGTGCTTCTCTGAGGATGTCAGCCTGAAGATTTATACAAGATCACCGAAAGTTTCCATGTGTGTCACATACCTTCTGCTGGGGAATGTATTACAGAACAGAAGAATGATTGCCCTGAGTCAGCTGGAAGGACCATTGTGTGCAGTATTCTGCCTTGAAGCAACCTGCATCAGATGGCCAGATACAGGTAAGACCAAGGCAAGTGTATAGCCACATCTTCTCCGGTACTTGCAGCTCAGAGATCTTATACCAGCTGCAGTTTATATACATGCAGTAACCTTCCATGGAGCTCTCCTCACTGGATTTGTCAGATCTCACCTGAACCCACAGGCTTCCCTCAGCCGTGACATCCTGCAGCAAGGGGCTGTGCAGAGCAGTGAGCCTCCTGCTTGCACTGAACTGGCTACTCACTAGCTATATTTGATGTCCTTTATTTCTCATGCTGGGAAAGAAGATTAACTACTTCCTAATCATATCATACTTGATTTTATACACGCTTTTCCTCTATCTCCTGTCCAGGCTGAGGACTCCCCAGATCACTTAGTCACCCCTTGCACAGAAGCTGTGCCAGATCCTCCACCACCATCCGTGTCAGCCATCTCTGAGCCTTTTCCAGTTCTACTTGAGCTCATCCAGAATTTCAGGCTGCAGCGACACTATGTATTTGTACTAGATTATGCAGCCACCCAGGAAAGCAATCCCTAAAGGAAGGACCCTACCTGTTCTCCCTCCCCTATATGTACCTTCTGCAAGCCACTCTTCTGGATAGCAGGGGCTCAGCCACCAAGGGCGCTGAGGGAAAATGATGAGTAGGAATGACTCCTGAAAGCAACATGGAGTCAGATGCCACATGTGGTTGTGGCACATCATCACAGAAAGAGGGCAAAGCCTCCTATTCAGACTCAGGCTAAGCCCTGTCCCAGAACTCATCCAACCAACCCTCAATGGTCTGCAAGACTTGAAACTCTGCATGTACTTCTACTCTTCATTCCCACTGAAAGAGAGCGTGGGGTGATTGAATGGCTGCATAAAAAAAAAAAAAAGAAAATGCTATTCAAAGAATTAGAAGACAAGTTAAGGAAGGAAATATTTTCCCATGCTTAGATGCAAGGTTCATAGCTGCTGTTTGTCTGAGGAGTGGCTTTCCAGAAGCACAGAGGACTGCCAACTCAGTCGTTCTCTGTAGGTGGGTGTGCCACCTGGGTCAGAGTTCATTTCTGGAGCATCCAGCAAGTCACAAGAGGGTTGATGGTATCTCCAGCCTTTATCTACAACCAAAGAAGAGGGTGCTTTCCCAGACAGCCTTCTTCTGGCTGTTCTCTGATCCAAATGCTTTTTTATTACATTCAAAACAAATTCCTAGTTCCAACCCCTACTGAGCAAATGGAGAGGAGGGACAAGTGTTTGTGCAACATGCAGAGCTCTTTTATTCTGCACTGGGGGATGCAAAAGCAGCTGCAACACTGACTGGATCAGGCAGTGCACTGCAATAAAAAGGAGCAAACATAAGAGGAACCAGAACCCCCGCTATGGCTGACTGGGATGGTTGACATGTGAGTGCCAGAAGATCAGAAATAGCCCTTTGCTTTCAGTACAATAAAGGTAACGAAAACACCATCTTTCTGTTCTTCTCCAAAGGCATACTGCAAGCCAAGGGGGTGAACAAAGAGCCTGGCCAGAGCATAAAGATCTGCCCAAAGGGCTTGAACTACCTCAGGAGAAAGCCTAGAGGTCTGGAAGGACAGAAAGGCAGGATGCAACACCTCAAGTCCAGATTCTCAGGTGAGCTCAGCAGCATTACACTCTGGACACTTGTGTATCGTTCCTGCAACTCCCAGGACATCTGGTTGCTCCCAGCATGTCTCACGTCAAGCCTCATCTGAGCAATACGGTTGCCCTCTTAGCTGTTGATTCAGAAGACACATCTAAGCTTTTTTCTTGCAGTGAATGAAGCATGGAAAGAGGTGAAACGGAGTTGAGAATGAAGCACTGTTCTCCGCACCATTGGCACCCAGCTTGCATTGCCTGTAGCTACAAGCTAAGCTGAAGGGCACTTCACCCTGCAGGAAGAAGAGAAATACACAGCCCATCCCTAAATTGCACATACCTCTTCGGTAGCTTCCTGCTCCTGCCACCCGTGGTCAGGTCGGAGAGCTCAGGTAGGGCTTCCATCAATGGCTGCATGTCTCCCACCACAGGTGTGGCTTTCCGCTTTGCTTCAGCTTTTTGCTTCTGCTTGGCTAGCTTCACACTTTCTATTTCTGAATCAGAAACAAGACATTACTGGAGGGAGGGGAAGTGCTTGCAAGAGATAACCCTTGAGCTAAGAAATTCACAGGCTGCTTCACCCTCTACAAAAACAACAGGCCAGAAGTGATTTAAACCAGGGAAAGACTGAAAATAATGCATCTGGGTAGTTCCCTCCCTGTGTTTGTTTATAACTATATACCTTTCTACTGACATTTTTAATGGGAAGTGAAATCCTCAGACCGATTTTACCTGAACTGTTTCCATCCCTTGCACTGTTCACTGCTCACAGCAACACAGCACAGGAGTCCTGGGTAGGAAAAAACCATGCTGACCTTGCATGGAATCAGGACAGAGAAACAAAAGGGGAAGGAACAAACTAAATACAGTCAGCTCCACATGTGGCATTGAACAGTCACAGTCCTATCTCTGTCTTGCTGTTGGAACAAAACAATGGTCTCCTAGCACAGGCACAAAAGATGGACTTAATTTCAGTTGTTTATTTAGTTTGGAACAAGTCAAGGTTCTCACCTTCATGATGCATGGTGGAGCTCAAGCAGTCAGATGCCAGATACACTGGGCCCTTAGAAAAGCATGGCACCCAGTGGCACACAGAGAGGCAGCTGGCTTTTTCTCGAGACCTTGTTTAAGAGTCTCCCTGCAGCAGCTCTGAGCAAGACTGTGGGCACATAAGGCTCTACAAACATTATGGCAGTCTCCCTTCTAGGCCATAGAAGGTGAGCACTGAAAGCTTCAGGCTTCTGCCTCAGTCCCTGCTGTAGAAAGAGGTCCTGCAGCTGCCCAAGCCTTACAGAGCCAGCAGCCTTCAGGGCAAGCCCCAGCAGAACAAGTTCTCCTCCAGGACAGCCCACAAAAGGCCAGCACTGCTACGAGCCACCAGCTGAGCTTCAAGATGCCCCAATCTGTCCCAGGAGTCCCTTGACAACGCCACCAGAAACAGCTAGAGCTCAGTGGGATCCATGGGCTCCTTTTCCTTCTGCCAGGTCATCACCAGGCCTGGAGACCCGCTGCACTGCCTTGACATCCACCCTGCGGAGGCTGCAGCAGAAGAGCTGGCTTCTGCTTATTGCCTTGGACAATGAGTGTATTGCAAGGACAAGCCTCAGAGCTGAGCTAGAAACTCCTTGTCTGGACATGAGGGAGCAGAGTGCCAGCAGCCATGGGACCAAGCTGGTGACACAATGAGTCCAACAGCTTCCAAGGCAGCATGGCCACAGAAGGAGGACTAAATCAGCACAAGTATTTTTGGTGGGAACACAAAAGCAGCCAGTCCCATTTACAGACCGCAGGCAAGATGCCACCTGCAATTCTGGGTCTAATCCTACTGACCACATTCAAGAAAGTAGAACTCAAACTCACCGTCCAGCCACCGGCTCCTTTAGTATCGATTTTTTTGTTTGCTCCCCGACTCAACTGAGTCAAAGAGCAACAGTTTTTCATGAACTGCAATTTTGCTGTACATGGATGTTTGTGACAAATCTGGATTGTAAACACTTCTCCTCACAGCAATCCCTGCCAAGAACACAGCTTTCTGTTCTGCATCACTTCTTTTTTTGGTCTGGCTTTATGAAGCTGACTACTTCAGTGCTTTCATAAACAGTATGTGCTCAAAATTTTCAGACACCTGATTCTGTGCAAACATCCCAAATTCTTTTCCTATGAAGTCTTGTTCGTCTAAGGAGCCATGCGATATATGTATTTTTAAACGTGCATACTTCTAATGTCTGAAGCATTGCGTAACTTTTTTCCCTCTCTAGTATCTCATGAGATAATTTATTGTAATGGAAGAAATCTCCAAGTTTTGCATTTGCGCTACTGGGCTCAGTGTTATTTCCCAGGGTCTTGGCATCCAGTGTCACAAAAGCAGCCCTGGGACAAGAAGAAACAACAAACTCTTGGGAAGACTTAGGAAACAGAGACTTAATGATAAGAACTTCAGCAGTCCAAGTCGGGTTCTCTTTTAGGGATCAGGGGGTCAGACAAAGACTGCAAAACCCACAAAGAACTGGCAGAGTTACTTGCACCAGATAAAAACCAATGTGTTCCAGTTGATTGCAGCTCTCTAAGGTCACCATGTTACAATGCCAAGTTTCATTTAAAAATTACCATCTCTGGAAATAGCTGTTCATTTTGCCCTATCAGCTAATAGTCATATCAGTTTCTTCATTGATGTTTATACAGGGCCTTTCCAGCTATTCCACTTTTCCCAATAACAAGCTGCACACCTAGTGCTAACACTTGCTGACTTTTCTTAGAGAAATTCCCAGGTACTCGCTACCCTTAGCAGAGCATTTCCTAGGGAATGCTGGTACTTGCCAACTTGCCACAAATTTAGTGAGGGAGTCAAGAGAGCCAGCAATTTGGGTACTTCTCTATCTGTAAAGCACTTCTAATACCTAGTATTTTCTAAGACAGACAGACAATTTGGCCTGAAGTTTTCTATCTTGGTGTTGTCCCCAAAGCAAAGCCTCTGCATTTCATTTGTATTCTCTCAGCTTAGTAACTTCAGAGCTAAGAGAGGAGGAAAGAGGCCATGGCAGAGCCAAAATAACATACATGATCTTGAAAAAGACTGATGCTACAAAGGCACATATGCAGGAGGGCAGGATTAAGACAGGGTAGGGATCTTGCTCTCAGGCTTTTCCAAAGTGGCTGACCTTGACTATGGGAGCAGTGCTGTCACCTAACTGCAGGGGCGTGCCCTCTGTTTCTTGTGGAAGACACAAGTCCCACGTACCCCCTTTCTGTGAATTCTGTATAAAATGCTGCTGAGGACTTTCCTTCCTCCACAGCACCTGGCACCAGTCATGGTATCAGGGGAGAGAAAGCTCATCTGTGCTTCAGCAGTCTCCTCCTCTGTCCCCACAACAGTATAAGACAAGGAGAGGCCTTTAGGAGCACCGAAATTGCAGCCAGCAGGCCAGACATCAGCACTAGCACAACTATCTACGCTTTGTGGCCAACAGGGACACCAGGGGTTCCAGATGTCAAAGACACCTGGAAGTTGTTGGTGATAGGGAGGAGGTCTCTCCAGAATCATGGTGTTAAATTATCATCTTTTTATGTAAGAGGAGCTAGAGACACCTTCACTGCAACTGGTGCAATCCCAGGCTGATGGATGTGAGCGCAGAGCTGGGGAGCAGAGAGCATGTGGGGCAGCAGAAACCCCCAAACACCGCCTGTCAGCAGCTCTGTTGGGCAGGAAGGTGTGAAGGGAAAAGCCTGTCCCAAGAACAGCTCCAGGTGGTAAGAGGAATCCCTCTGCTACACTAGGTAGCACAGCATTGTCTCTTACTGGGCTGAGACACTTGAAGCAAAAATACAGACGCTTCTCACAGGAAACAGAAGCATTTCTGCCATGCACTGGCTGTGTTCAGCTCATATGTCACAGCCTCAAGGAAGGACAGGCTGTCTGGTGAGGGGGTTCACTGACCTGTGGCACGTGGGAAGGAGCAATCACACAACCAGAGACCAGAGACACCCCCCTTGCTGAAGGCCAGGAGGGTCCACTCAGGCCTTCACCTCAGAGGCGTGGGATTAGCTGGTGGCTGCGTGGGGCTCAGCTCCGGGCTGTCCTACTGTCCCCACAGCTCCTCAAGGAGGAGGAGCTTCATACAGCTATAGCTGTACCAGAGCTTTAAAAGATAAACGTGCTAAACCTACATGGGCACAGTGTCCTATCTGGATAAATGAAGTTTTTGTGCCATCACTTACATTATACGTGAAGGAAGATCAAAAGTACGTTTGGGGCAATGACTCAATCTTGGGGCTAAACACTGAGAAACAGTATCTTGGACTTTTGCCCCACGTGCTGGGGAGCAGATGTGAAGATGCTTCTGAGAAGCATTCAGCCTCCCCCGGCACTGCCCAACACTCCCACCCATACCCCATGTACAGAGAGATCCAACAGAGCCCCATTCTGTGATGCCCACGGTACCCCCGTACCTTGGAGAAGTACTTACTCTGTAGCCATCTTTCTTTCCTCAGCTTCATTTTTTCTTTTTTGGAAAGAACTGTTTTTTCTTCTAAACCTAGAGGAGAAGAGAGACATGAGATGGAGCCTGTCTCCTGCACACAGATTCAGTGCTAGACACTTCCCAAAAATAGCAGAGTCCGTAATCTTTTTTCAACCCTTGATGCTTTTGAACTTGCTGGCAGGTTGGGCAGGCCCGGGGCTACACCGCACCTCAGCTTTTAGCCAAACAAGTCAAACCTGGCTCAATGTTGGTTCAGAAATAAGAAATGGACAAGTAGATCAGATCCTCAGCACCACAGGCCCTGTTTTCACAGGCCAGGTAGCTCTGAGAAAAGTGTTTTGAGAGACCCTTGCCCTAAGTCCTGCATGAACCTGGCCTGAGAGCTGGCATTTTCTCTGAAGACTAGCCACAAGTGACGGGAGGACCTACAGGCTCCAGAACTGGGAGCAAAAAGCAGGCTGATAAAGCTAAGAAGGAGGAAAACCAGGGCTGAAGACATGTGCAAGGGGAGGGGGAATGGCAACCCGATATGTTTATCAGCATCTGCCTGCCCATGGCAGGGGAAGCACTGAATAACGTCTGAAACACCCAGATCCATGGCAGCCCTAAGGAGCAGCTGGTCACTAACAGCTTGTAAAAATGGTTAGTACCTACTATATACCAAATTCAGTATTTGGAAACCAGCCGTTGATCACTTATATCCAATACCAAGTAAAATAATGTCACAAATATTTTTACTGCAGATCTTTTGCAGACACTATAAAATTTTATCTTCTCTCCAGTGTTTAAAACAAAATTGACTTTAGTCGACTTTTCTCCTGAAACGTGCTGGGAATCCTGCTACAGGAATGCCAGTGGAGGAACAAGCTCCTCAAAGAACACTCTCCTCACTTTAGGTTATTCTTATGCCTGGAAAAAAAAAACAAACAGTTTTCTCCCCAAAAGAAAAACTATTTCAATGCAACTCTAAAAACAACTCACTGATGACAACTTCTCTGAAGTTGCGAATCTTTCAGGATGATTTAAACAAAAGTAGGGTCACAATTCAGTTATTCAATGCCTTAAGATGAGAACAAGCCTGCTGGGGCCCGGGGGACTTATCCATGAAGCCAACAACCACCACCATGTTTGGAGTTTCTAGAGGAGACAGCGAATGAAGCCGTAGCTTTTACTGCCTCGTGTCCCAGGAAAATATGTTACTGCAGTCACTGCACCCAAGAAGCAAGAAATAAAACCACGCCTAGAAACTATCACTTATTTACAAAGCTCAGGGATCTCCTGAAGGGTTTGTGACTGATGATACGTGGTATGTGACTGATGCTCCTATCCATTTTTCCATTTCCTGCACCAGGCAGCAATGCATGCTCACCCTGCCAGGCTCTGCCCAGCAATTTACTCGACCAGTTTGCTGTGGTACCAAAGTGGGTGCTAAAACAACTGACTGCACGTTCCATATAACCAACTCCCAGACACCTCCACCCCCTATCACCCCATGTTTCTGTGGTTTCAGAGGAAAAAAAAAGGATGAATCATGAGGCCAACCCGTACCCCAGTGATCTCCGTGGGGCTGCCTGCCCCAGACACCAACCCCCTGTCCCTCTGGCTGCCCCAACCTGCTGGGACCTCAGTGGCAGCGGGGCTGGGGAGATTTGCCCCCCTGTCTGAAAACACACTCATTACTTCATTGGGGAAACAGCACCCAAGTGGGGATTTGTTAATGAAAATATAAAAAAAATTTCAGCCAGCTGGCCAATTCTAGTAATAACATCAATTCAGGTTTTTTTTTTTTTTTTATTAATTTCCCCAAAAAAGCAGCGGAGTATTTAAGGAAACACAAAAGCTGTTTTCTTGGCAGGGGCCCAGCCTGACTGGCACCCAGGACCATCAGAGGGGTGCGGGGAGGGGAGCTGAACCCCCCTCCACCTGCCACCAGCCGCCGGCCGAGCAGCCGGTCTCTGCCCCTTCTCACCGCCCGCTCCCCCCACACCTCCATTTTACAGATCCCCCCCCAGCCCCACGGGAGGCTGTTTTGCTGCTGGAAGGTGCCAAGTTGTGTTTGGCAACTTCCAGTTGCGATGCCGAATGCCAAAAACGCTGGAAACCACTGGAGAACAGTGGAGGCAGCATTTAGCACAGATTGTCCCCAAGGTACTCTTATTTTTTATTTAGCTCGCAAGAACCTCTGAGATCAAAGCCAGACCGCAGCTCCAGTTTATTTTTCTGGGAAATCAGAACGGTTTGGGTCCCCACCTCTGCCCATTCCGCATGAGATTTAACAACACTTGCCTTTGAAATGTTGTGCACAGAGGAAAGGTGAGCTAAAGCCACTTACGTTAGCTGAGAGTAATTAACATACTGTAAACCTGACAATTATTTCACTTAGCAAGGATGTGTTTTTCTTCTCTCTGATCTGCACAGTACAAAACATCTCAAATATAAACAGATTTAAAAAAAAACCACAACCCAATACCTTTTTCCCTCCTATAACAAGCGTTTGCTACTACTACTGGGAATTCTCAGGATCCTGGTTTCATGGCAAACAAGCAGGTATTTTTTTGATTACAGCTTCCTTCATTTCAAAAAGGTTGAGGTTTTTTGGTAAAGGACTCCTTAGACCAAAAACAACCCCATATATATGACTGCTTTTCATAAAGGACTCCCTTAGACTAAATATAAATATAAATATAAATATAAATATCCTACTATAAAAGTCCCCTTTTAATCCTTTCTAGGCATTCAGAAAAAAGCTGGACGGGGTTAAAGCCATAACACCACAGGCTTCCCTGAGCCCCGAGATCCCACTATTTGAGTCCACAACCACGAGGGTGAAAACACAGGCTTCACAATTCCAGGAAACCACATTGCTTTGAGGACTCGGCCATGAGCAGAAATATCAAATATGAGCAGAAATATCAAATAAACCTGTGCCTGTGCAATGCTACACAAACAGAGGAGGGTTCTTCAGCACTGGGCATCTGGCCCTCCCCCCCATGCAAAGCCGTAGTGAGGCACTAAGCCCCCTTTTTTGCTATGAGCTATTAAGAAATAGCACCTAGCATTAAGTATTATTCCCAGAACTCCACTGATACATAACAGTAAAGCTGTTGCTGCTTGAAACATAGTATTTTGGCAAAACAGGGTACTGTATAAATTTAAGTTAAACACCAACAGATGTGCTAATTTTAGCCTCAGTTGTATAACACCAGTAAAAATGAGCATATGCCTGCAGCTGTGGGATGAGTTCACTAAAGAAATTCAAAGAATACGTTCCAAAAGCAGAAGATTGGATGTGGGTTTTGGCGGGTTTTTTGTGGGTTTTGTTTTTTTCCTTTAATTATATAGTGTCATTTGTAAATTGTCTAATACCCTTTTACGCTGAAAGGGGCTGGGAAATGGCAAACCGCAGTCTCCTGGTGCAAACGCAGCAGAGGTGTGTCCTGATGCCAGTGCAGAACTCCTGAAGGTATTTTTTTTCCTCTGGGAAGAAAGTTGAGGGACACCGTGGGCCAGGCAGAAATTCGGCCAAGATGTCCTCCAGCAGAGACGGTGCTCCCTGGGAGCCAGCCCCGCAGCTCACTGCCCTCAGCTCACCCCACAGCTCAGCTCCCCACCAGGCAACCTCCAGCTCCTCTTCTCCTCCAGAAAGCACGGACACAGCAGCGTCTGAGGTGCCCGGGTCACTAGCGAGGCCAAGGCTTGGAGACAGCAAGGACAGGGGGTTGATACATGGAGCATTTGGGTTGTACCCAGTTCAAGCCCTGCCACCCTAAAGGAGTCTGGGGAACCAGCGCTGGAAGAGAAGATGACAGCCCCTGCTGGGATGGGACAGGTTTCACCATGGATACAGCATTTGTTTTTCATGTTCCAAAACAAGCTACATTATTTTTGTTCACGCTTAATCATTACCCCAGCACGCAGGCTTTCCTCCTGCCCCCGATGAGGCAGGCATCCATCCTATTTAAAGTGGGATCTGCATCCGCAGCCCTTCCAGACCCCCCGTTATTGAAAGGGGAGCCTACTCCCAAGCCCAGCTTGGCATCCAAGACCCGAAGGAGCTGTGTGACTCCTGTCCTGGTGTGGAGGCCATGCCTCTGCCAGGCCTGGTAAATACCTCAGGCTCTGACCAGCTACAGGAAGGGCACAAACCTCCCTCTGCAGCAGGGCCCAGACTCATCTCTAGTTAGGCATGTAAGCCCACAAGAGACATGCTGCCTGGAGCGGGAGCAGGTCCCCTCAGGAGGTGACCAAGAAGTCACAATCTGCACAGCAGTCTGCAAAAGGCAACTCTGGAGACAAAGCCTGTCCCCCCAACCGGTACCTGAAGTGCTGCAGACATGCTTAGACCCTGTCAAGAGGTAAAACTTCCTCCTCCTCCTCCTCCTCTGCCCAAAGCATTTCCCACCCTTCAGAATGGTCCCACCTGCACCCTCTCAGCAGCTCTCCACAGCACAGAGGCTGGCATTTTGAGGGTCAGTCTCAGACTGGCAGGCACACAGATGCTCAAGGTGGCCCAGAGCATCTCTGTCCTTAAGGCCACATTTGCAGCTGGGAGGTTATTTTCATAACCAAGCAGGAAAAGAGGTACCATGTCTTAGGGAACCTAGATTTCTGAACCAAGCATGCCACAAGGACTACAAAATGCCTTGTTTGAGCCAGGTGCCAGCTCATTGCCAGTTCATGGCACGGAGAGATCCCAGAAATCACCATGAGCCTCCTGATGGAGAAGCTATGGCTGTCACAAGGAGCTCACCTCATCTGCCAGATCGCAGGCTCCTACCTGGGACAAGTTATTTTTTGCTCCTAGAAAAAGGACAGCTTATTTCAGGAGTTATCCTCCCTGTAAAACACCTACAGGGTACAAACGTGGTGGGGTCAGAGAGAAAAAATACTCCACTACGTATTCTGTAGCATGCAGCCTTCTTAGGGGAGAAACGTCCTTATCCTCCCTGTAAAACACCTACAGGGTACAAACGTGGTGGGGTCAGAGAGAGAAATACTCCACCATGTATTCTGTAGCATGCAGCCTTCTTAGTGCTACAAAA